AAGGAGAGAATCTGAACGTTTCAACCAGCAAACACTGAACACACATGATCTTCTGGAGTGTGCCTATGACTGTCTTTTGGACGTCTGTCCAGCCAGCAGTCGTCTTCAACATTGGGTCCAACTGACCCAGACTGGGACCTTCTAGAGCAGGCTGTTCAACTGGTGGCACTCAAACCACTTCTGGTTCATTAGAACAACATAAAATATTTGAAAAAATATCGCTGTGACAGAACTTAATTACTAATTATTACTAAATGATTTTTAAATAAACTATTTTCTGTACTTTTTATTGAAATTTTATTTTAAATTAGAATCCAATGAAAACCAACAATGACAACACAATAACTTCTAAATCTGAAATAAAAACTTAATTTCATTCAGAGAGCCCACCTACTCATGCAGATGATCTGTGTTGAGCAGATCAGTTGTGTCGACCAATCATCATGTATTCCTGATGTCCAAAAACTCTGCACCATAGACAATTTATTTCTACTGTCACATTCTTGTGTCAGATAATCTAAAACCATTTTAGGGAATAAATAAAATTTCTTTTTCTAAGATTTTCAAAGTCTTTGTTGACCATCATAGCCAGGGTTGAACCCCAACATTACATCAAGTGGTTAGGGCCTGCGAGGCCTTAGCACTATCAGAATCCCTAACTTATATCTACAACCTAAACTGTAATTCTTTTTCAATTAATGTTATTAAATTACTTCCAAAAGTCTATGCTCTTTTCTTATATCTCTCTTGGATTCCTGTACATGTCTGTATGGATTAATTGTCCAATTGGATTTCAGTATCTACATGTTGCCAGGGTCAGAATAATCTGCACCAGGGCCTTATAAGACTAGATGGCATTTGGCTGTACATGAACACATTACAGTAATATTATATTCACAAAATATAAACAATAATATGTTAATTTTACTCTTGTTTGCCTGCGCCTGTGCCCACCTGTTTCAGTCCGCAGAAAAATAATGTTTTTGCGGGACCTCTGGAATCCTATCTGCTGTTTTTAAGAGAGGGTTACGTGTCCCTGGCAGATAGTCGCAAGAATGTGCCTGTAAAATTATTTCGAGATGCAGGTGGATGTGACCCTTATATTTGGGCTGAAGTGCTACCTCTATCCAAGGATTCTGAGTTGGGCAGTTGTGTTCCTGTGTGCAATATCAGTTTAAATATTATACATGTTCCCCGTCACAGACTATGTCTGGAGTGTGAACTATTCTGGGGGGAGGTTGCCTATTAAGAGTGTTTTGGTGATTTTAGGTAATGACGGAAAGCTTTCTGACAGGCTTTCTGCTGTCAGAAAGCTTTATGCGCTGGTGAACAGTTGTGATGAGCACGAGGTTACTGGTACGTTCATGGCTAGTCTTAAGACACGCTCTCAGTCTGTGCCTGTCGGAGAGACAGGAGACTGACAAACAGGACATTTGTTCTTGCCTCTCAGTGATGGTCCTCTATTTCTATCCCACATTATACTGATGGCTGAACAGAGTGTTGATTCCTCTCTGGGAGTGCTGGTTTTGCTCTTGCACCCAGGTGACTTGTCAGGCAGCTCATATGGTTACCTTCTTAAATGTACACTGTGAGACAATGAGTGCCACATTTTGAGTTTGCTAAGGGTGCTGTCCTTTGTTTTGTTCTTTTTGTTTGTTTGTTTTTTGTGTTTTTGAAAATCCTATGTCTTGGATGACTCATACATCAAGGAATAGGTCAAGTTTCCAGTGTGATTTTGTGCTCTCATATACTCGGCCGTTTTGCTTGACCTCAGATCTGGTCTTGCTCTTCCACTCTTTGCCACTTCACCTAACGCTTAATTGCTTCGAAGGTGGACCAGTTTCTGGGAGCAAGAAGTTGATACAGAAATGATGTTGGGCTGATGAATGCATTACCTCTTCAAATCTGTTTGGTATTGTCAATATTTGACAAAACTACATGTATATATTTTTGTAAGTATTTTTGGGAGAAAAAAAAACATGTCTAAATGTTTGCTCAAACTTCCCAAAGGGGGAAGCCCGCACTTTACATAAAGGGATCCACCCCTTATAATTACTGTTCTTTGTTCCGAGGCACACTGGAACAAAGACTCTTTAAACCAGTTTGATTGGATCAGATGTTAGACATCATGCTTCTGAGACTTTTACATTCAGGGAAATTAATTTTCTACATTATTTATTTGTTCTTATTTCAGTTTTAACCTGCATTCTGCTGGCTTCAGCTCACATATTTTATTCCTAATTCAGATTTTGGGGCTGCAGTTTGTCAGAGACCAACTGGGCTTCTCTGCTCTCAGCTCTGAAGTCCAACCCGACCCATCTAACAGGACTGGAACTGAGCTACAGCAACCTGGGAGATTCTGGAGTGAAGGAGCTCTGTGGTTTTCTACAGACTCCTGGCTGCAGATTAGACACGCTGAGGTATTCTAATTATTATTATTATTATTATTTATTGATATTTCTGTGAATAATTATATATAACTGACCAGAAAATCAAAGTTCATATCTTCTGTTCTAATAAATATTTTCTGAGTTTGTTCCTGGATCCAGAGTTTAATTTAGTCCCTCTGTGTAACTGAGTTGGACCTGCTGACCTGAGGTCAGAACAGGACAGCATTCGGACCCCCAGTGTGTAGAAATCCCCCTCATGTCAAGCAGGTCAAAGGTCATTCAACCCAGTCTAGAAAAGTGAATTCCTGGAATCTGACAGGAACAAATCAATAATCAATGATTGATGCTTCAACACTTTGATCAGAACCTGGAATGATTTTACTGACTAAAATCTTCCAACACAACATGACCCAGTACCAGGTTCTGGTTCTGAAGTCAGCAGGTCTTTATTGAAGCAGCAACTTGTTGGCTTTAATATTCATGAAAATATTTAACTGGTTCTGTTGGACTGGTTCACCTGCATCCTGTTGGCTTCAGCTCATCTTTTATTCTTTATTCAGGTTGATGGACTGCAGTTTGTCAAAGATCAGCTGTGATTTTCTGGCCTCAGCTCTGAAGTCCAGCAGCCTCCATCTGACAGAACTGGACCTGGGATACAACAACCTGAAGGATTCAGATGTTCAGCAGCTGAAGCGTTTTGTAAAGACTTTACGGTAAGTAAATGTTTGTAGTGAGTCCAGCTGCTATCAGCATATTGAACTAAACCCAGTTAGCATCAAAGCAAAGCTCCAGTGTTCCCAGTAAAGCTGCAGNTTCTNAGTGGGAGGAGAATGGTTCAGGCTTCCTGATTGGACACAGAGACAGCAATCAGCCAATCAGAGGAGCAGCAGCTTGCTGTGTTCCTGTGTTTGTGTTGGTGTGAAGATGAGTGTTGTTGCTGTGTCCATGTCTCCAGGACGTCCAGCTGGACTCCAGCGTCCAGCCGTCCAACATGTCTAGAGACAGTGGTCCTCATTCATCAAACTGTGGCAGCAGCAGATCTGATCTCAGATCTGCTTGTTCTCTCAGTTCAACGGAAACAACTGATCAGGTTCATCTTGGTCACAGCTCTGAGATCAGTCTGTCTGCGGCCTGGAAACCATCTACTGGATGTGCTGCGTCACTGACTGCTGCTGGAGAGGCTGGAAACACATCTGATCTCTCCATCCTTCTTCTCTCTGCAGGCGATGATCTCTGTAAAGTAGAGAACGGTCTCTGTGTCTTGCTGATCCTCAGAGGTTGAAGCTGCAGCAGTTTGAGTCAAAAGAAACTCTGACTGGATCATGACGATGACCTCTGACCTCCAAGATTTTCCTCCTGTTTATTTTCTCATGTCTGTCATTTAGTGTCTGATATTGTTTGTCTCTTTGGATTAATAAAGATCAAATTCAAACTGGGCTCCATTTAGAGGCTTCATGGAGGTTTAGACGCTAAGATGCTAAGCTTCCGGTCTGAAATTAGGAGAATATTTATGAAATGTTAAATTATCCTGGAAACAGTCAGAATGATGTTGATGTTTTAGCTGCAGAGCCCCAAACTTAACTTTTATCAATATCAGAGCAGGGCGGTTATTGCCCTCTAGTGGACCATGATGGTAACTACAGCTACTTGACAAAGATTGTTTACATACTACATTCACATCCGGTGAGTACTTTTATATTAAGAGCGATAGAAACGAGTTAATTTATTCTGTTAGCTTTCGTATAAAATAATGCATTTCAATGGTTTTGTTTCTTCTCTGAAACAAACTTTTACTCAACAGCACCAAATTAAACTCTGCTGAGGTTTCTCCACCTGCATATAATTTTCCTATTTCTGCAGTCATTTCAAACAGACAAAAGTATTTAAATAACATTAACAGTAGCAGCATATTTTTAATGTGTGAGAAATTTATTCGCAGTGTAATTCAGCAATGAGTAGTTGTGATAAATTAATTGCAGACTCAGCAACCGATTAAAATTCTAATTTAGTCCCATCACTAGTAATATTTTAAACTTTAACTTTTCACATTTAATTTTTCTCCATTTTCATCTTGCTAAACGCTCTATTTTTCAACTGATTTGATTTTAACACAAATATATTTTTAATTTTTATATTTTTCAGACATTGATTCTCAAAATGTTCCTTGGTTAATATTTATGGGATGCTTTTCATCTAAGTAAATTTAGTTTTATTTTCACTTCTAGTGACTCTTAGCAACATTAATATTAGGTTTTATTGTGGCTTTATAAAAGTGAAAATTAGAACAAATAAAGTAAATTATCTTATGAATAATATCTGTAGTTACGATAGTTCGCCACCAGAGGACAGAATCGTTTCTGTATTCCTAAATATGAATGTGTGTGTTTGTGTGTAATGTGTGGAATTATAATAACCTACAGAATAAACTGATTTGTGTCCTGAACCCTGAAGCTGTGAAACTGAACCTTCAGGCTTTTTCTTCACTTTTCAGTTCATCTGTTGTACTCAGTGAACTTTAAATCGGCTGGCTGCCATCTTTAATAAAGCAAACATCACTGACTGAGCAGCGCAGCATTGGTTTTCAAAATAAAGAAATAAAAGTACTATTACTTTTATTTCATTACAGATAAAAATAAATAAATAAAAATAACATGTTAATTCTAAAGAGTAGCTTCTTCTAATGCAAGTTGAATCGAAATATAGAAATCATGACATTTTCTTTTTCATTACAAATACACTAAAACAATATCAATTTTGGTGTTTTTATTCATCTTAATTTAAATATTTGTGGCCATTAATGATGATATAGTTGCAGATTGTGACCACTAGATGTCAGACATAACTCAATTTTATTTTCCAGTTTTGTTTATAATTTTAAATTAAAGCAAAAATAATCGCATGTAATATTTTTCAACAAACTAAAATGTTTATATTAAATTTGTGACGTTAAAATTCTGTAAAATAAGCTACTTCCTGTATTCCTGTTTATTTCACTGCTGAACAAGCTTTTTTTGTGAAGTAACGCGAGATTTCTTAGGTATCGTGAGATCTGACGTGCTTGTGCGGCAGTCTGTGTCGCTGCTGATCTGTCCGTGGGTTTGTTTGTGTAAATTTCCTGCGTGATGTTCGGCTGTCCTCCACGGGAGGACCGGAATTAGTCCACACGTCCAGCAGAGGAGAGGACAACATGGCGGCTGCAGAAGGTAAGGCCCGTTGTTATGGCAACACGGTACCGAGTGCAGGTTGCTGATGTCCTCTGTGGACAGGTGTCAGCCTTCCCACTCCCACGGAGGAGATGAACGGGGCCGGGACGCTCATGGACTTCCTGGACGAACCGTTCCCGGACGTGGGAACCTACGAGGACTTCCACACCATCGACTGGCTGAGGGAGAAGTCCAGAGACACGGACCGGCACCGAAAGGTTCTTGAGGGCTGGGTTCGGTGCGTGGGGGCAGTGTGGACCCGCTCACTGTGTGCGTGTTTGTCCCGCAGATCACCAGTAAGAGCAAAGAGTCCATCTGGGAGCTGATCAAGAGTCTGCTGGACGCCTGGTCCGGATGGGTGGTGATGCTGCTCATCGGCCTGCTCTCTGGTACCGACCGACCCGGTTTCCTCTGTGACCCGGTTCTCTCTCTTTGACTCTGGTCAGAGAGAGGGAACCTGGTCCAAAGTTTCTGGTCCCAGCTCATATTGAAGCAGTGGCCGGGTTCTGTTGTGGTTCCGCCCAGGGCCGGTCCAAGCCTCCATGGGGCCCAAAGCGAAATCTGGTTTTGGCCCCCTCTAATTCTACTAATAATGTGGATTTCTGCAATGAACAGTCAGATGATTAGATGATTCACACGCCTGCTAAACTTATTACATCTCTGATAGTGATGGTTACATTATTATCCCTTATCACCTGAGAATGTGGACTGGTACCGGAACTGGGTTGATTCTGAGCCTTAAATGATTTTAACAGAAGTTTCACATCCCTTAGAAGTTGATGTAAAAATAATGTTTGCTTTAGCCACAAAATGATCAGCAGCAAACACCATGTAGCTACAGCTTAGAGCAGCTCATCGATACATTAATGCAGCCTGATGGAAAACATTTTGCTAGACAATGTCAAACATTGAGAAGTTTTAATTATTTTCATCAAACTTCATCAAACACACCGTTTTGAAGCCAAAAAACTCCAGTATTATACAAAGCCAACCATGAGAATCAACTCATTGAAAGTTAAAACTCAGTGTGACCTACCGTAACCACCAGGGGGAGCCCAAGAGCAATTTATTTTTTCTTTTGGTCCGTATAAAGAATGATTTCTACATACATTATCAAATATATATTCTTGTGAAAAAAAATCACAACTTTTTTATGAAGCTGTGTGTTCTTGCTAATATAATCACATAGAAATGATTACTAAAAACAAAAGTTCCACTGAGGGGGCCCCCTGGTGTCTCTGGGGCCCTAAGCGCCCGCTTAGTTTGGGCTGGCCTTGGTTCCGGCTACCCGGGCCATCCCCCTCAGGAGTTCTGGCCGGGTTCTGTCATGGTTAACCGGGCCGTCCCCTCAGGTACGCTGGCCGGGGTGATCGACCTGGCGGTGGACTGGATGACGGACCTGAAGGAGGGCGTGTGCCTGTCGGCGTTCTGGTACAGCCATGAGCAGTGCTGCTGGACCTCCAACCAGACCACCTTCGCCGACCGGGACAAGTGTCCGCAGTGGCAGAAGTGGGCCGAGCTAATGACGGGCCACGCCGAGGTGAGATGGGTCCAGGTGGGAGGGAGGTTCTGGCCCACAGTCCGGTCCGTGACAGTGTGTGTTTCTTCAGGGCGCCGGGGCGTACCTGCTGAACTACTTCCTGTACATCTTGTGGGCCCTGCTGTTCTCCTTCCTGGCGGTGTCGCTGGTCCGGGTGTTCGCCCCGTACGCCTGCGGGTCGGGGATCCCAGAGGTACCGCACGCCCTGAGGCCTGCAGGTGGTTCGGGTCTGTGCTGTAACGTTCTGTTCCGGTCCGCTGCAGATCAAAACCATCCTGAGCGGGTTCATCATCCGGGGCTACCTGGGGAAGTGGACCCTGCTGATAAAGACCGTCACCCTGGTTCTGGCCGTGTCGTCGGGCCTCAGCCTGGGGAAGGAGGGCCCGCTGGTCCATGTGGCCTGTTGCTGTGGAAACCTTTTCTGCAGCCTCTTCTCCAAGTACAGCAAGAACGAAGGCAAGAGGCGAGAGGTGAGCCGCCTGGTTCTGATCTCCTCGACCCGCCAGCGTCCAAATAAGACGACAAATAATCCATAATGTCTGATTTGATTCAACTTTTGATACCAGAGTGGAATAAAAACCTGAACTTTCTGGTGATAAATGAAACTAGTTGTTAAGATGTAGGCAGAAGCAGCAGAACAAACCATAAACCTTCAAAACTCAGAAAAACAGTTGAAGACGAATAAAAAGTTTCAAGGATAAAAGTATTAGCTTTTTATGCTGTAAAAGCTAAAACAAGCTAAAAAGCTGAAGTTAGCTAAAATATAATAATAGCAAAACAATGTAAAAGTTCATTCTTGCGAAAAAGGTAAAGCTAGCTAAAACAAAAACTAATGGTAGCTTTTAGGCTAGTGGTAGCATAATTCTTTGCATAATCCACACAGAGTAAAACACCCCATGTAAAAGATACAATCAGCTAAAAAGCTAAAACTAGCTAAAATACTAACAATAGCTTTGATTCAAAACCGTTTGTTCTACATACATAAATTATAAATATAAACTTTCAGAAATACTTAGAGGATGAAACATTTCCTATTCAGGTGAAATTTACAGCACCTCTTAGCAGAAATGAATTCAGATGGTTTAATATTTATAAACCGGGATTATTGTTTGGGAAGTGTAAAAGTTACTTCACATAAAATACATAGAATCTAAAATAGCTAAAAGTATCACCACTCTCAGCAATGACAGACAAAAGAAGAAACAGGAAGATTATTAATGTTGAGGACCACAGAAAGGGGAACAGTAGAGTTAAGAAGGTTCTACTGACCTCTTTTTAGAAATATTCACTGAATAATGAGGAGTATTTCATAAAAAGTAGCATCTTTTGGTACCTCACATTAGATCTGCTTTATTCAGCAAATGTTCCAGATGCTTCGTTGAACCTTTGGGTAAAATAATGGTTGCCTCCTGCTGTGGTCAGGTGTTATCGGCGGCAGCAGCAGCTGGCGTGTCGGTGGCCTTTGGAGCCCCAATAGGAGGAGTTCTGTTCAGCCTGGAGGAGGTCAGTCATTCACTGTTTTACCAGATCAGACTAATCTTTGCTTCCTTCTTAGATCTCCCTGTGGTAACCGTCTGCTCTCTCATGCAGGTGAGTTATTATTTTCCCCTGAAGACTCTGTGGCGTTCCTTCTTCGCCGCTCTGGTCGCCGCCTTCACGCTGCGCTCCATCAACCCGTTTGGAAACAGCCGCCTGGTTCTGTTCTACGTGGAGTATCACACTCCCTGGTATATGGCTGAGCTGGTCCCCTTCATCCTGTTGGGGGTGTTCGGAGGCCTCTGGGGAACGCTCTTTATCCGGGCCAACATCGCCTGGTGCCGACGCAGGAAGACCACCCAGCTGGGGAAGTATCCGGTCCTGGAGGTGATTATCGTGACGGGAATCACCGCCCTGCTGGCGTACCCCAACCCGTACACCCGCCGCAGCACCAGCGAGCTCATCTCTGAGCTCTTCAACGACTGCGGCGCTCTGGAGTCGTCGCAACTCTGCGACTACTACAATAATCCCAACATGAGCCGGCCTGTGGACGACATTCCAGACCGTCCAGCGGGCCCTGGGGTCTACAACGCCATGTGGCAGCTGACCCTCGCCCTCATCTTCAAGATTGTCATCACCATCTTCACCTTCGGCATGAAGGTATCCTCCTCCTCCTCACACTTGTTCATTATCCTACCCAGTCGGAGTAGAGTAAGAGCTTCTGTTGCTCTTCACAGATCCCGTCAGGACTCTTCATTCCCAGCATGGCGGTGGGAGCCATCGCTGGTCGGATCGTTGGGATCGCCGTGGAGCAGATGGCGTACCATCACCACGACTGGATTATCTTCAAGAACTGGTGCCGGCCTGGCGCTGACTGCGTCACACCGGGACTCTACGCCATGGTGGGGGCTGCTGCCTGTCTGGGTGAGTCACCAAGGACAGAAGACGCCACATGTCCAGTTCCTTTCTTACCTGTCTGTTGGGTCTGTTCAGGTGGGGTAACCAGAATGACTGTCTCCTTGGTGGTCATCATGTTCGAACTCACCGGCGGGTTGGAGTACATCGTCCCCCTTATGGCCGCCGCCGTCACCAGTAAATGGGTGGCCGATGCCTTCGGGAAGGAGGGCATCTATGAGTCTCACATCCAGCTCAACGGCTACCCGTACCTGGACGTCAGAGACGAGTTCACCCACCGCACCCTGGCCACCGACGTGATGCGTCCCCGCCGGAACGACCCTCCCCTGGCCGTCCTCACGCAGGACAGCACCACGGTGGAGGACGTGGAGACGCTCATTAAGGACACCGACTATAACGGCTTCCCAGTGGTCGTGTCCAGGGAGTCGGAGAGGCTGATTGGCTTTGTCCAACGCAGAGACCTCACCCTGGCCATCAGTGAGTCTGTTACAACAACTGGCACAAAGCTTCTCTTTCTAGATGCTGACGTCATGGTTTCTGTCCTCAGAAAACGCCCGTCAGAAGCAGGACGGCGTGGTGAGCAGCTCCGTGGTCTACTTCACAGAGGACGCGCCGCAGCTGCCGGCCAGCAACCCTCAGCCGCTGAAGCTGCGTCGCATCCTGAACCTCAGCCCCTTCACCGTCACCGACCACACGCCCATGGAGACGGTGGTGGACATCTTCCGCAAACTAGGCCTACGGCAGTGCCTGGTCACCAGGAGCGGGTCAGTCTGCCACAACGCCTCTGAGACCAAAGCTGTTATTTAGTGTCCTGCTGTGGCCAGCAGAGGTCAGCCTAGAGTAATTTGATTAAGCAGCAATTAAAAATCAAAAAATTTTGATTGTTTAAAGGCAGAAAAAGACTAAATATTTAAAAGAAAATTTCTTCTGTTTTTCATGGCTTCAGTGGAAATAAATGCTTTAATCCCCCTGAATCAGAATTAACTGATCAGTATTTGTTTTTTTTTGGCTCAATAAAAGTTTATTCTTTCTCAAATCCACAAACAGGTAAAACAAATTAGAGTATTACAGTTTCTGTGTTTAAAATCTTTAAAAGAAGAAAGTTGGCACATAACTGCTCATTTAAAGGTCCCCAAAATGTTTCATATTAAATGTCCAGAGCTAATAATTGTAAATGAGAGCCGTTAGCTAACTTTCCCCTGTCCCTGCAGGCGTCTGCTGGGCATCATCACCAAGAAGGACGTCCTTCGCCACATGGCCCAGATGATGAACCAGGATCCAGAGTCCATCATGTTTAACTGACTGATCACTTGCACTCACCTGAGCTCTAACCAATCATCTGTTTCACTGGAGTTTAGAAACCAGTTCTGGCACTTTTAATACAGCAGAATGAAACGGGGAAGGTTTATTTAACATGTGGGATGATTATGGCTGAAATGGGTTTCCATACACTAACTCTGAGCTGATTTTATTGCACTTTTTGGTGTTGCCATATGTGTTTGTGCGTTGCCATGTGTTTTTCTCCCTCTGAAGGATTTGTGGTGTAGTTTAGACCTCTGTTGATCCTGAAGTCACTCCAGACTCCACCGCTACAACCAGAGACGCTACCGTTAGCCCCTGTTAGCATCTGCTCCAGTTACACTCCACCGTCCTTCTGGAGCCCCACCTCCATTCTGAAGTATTATTTCTGTATGAAGGTAAAATCCTCATCCTCAGTGTTTGTTTTGGTTCTTCTCTGTCTTGTTTTTTTTATTATTATTGTAAAGCTGCTGATGCTTCACAGAAACGGCGTGGGGAACTTATGAAATGATGCTAACCTTTAGGTCTGGTTCTTTTATCAGAAACTATTTCTTCTGTTGCACTTTTGTTTTATCAAAGTTGGAAGAATAAATGTCTGAAGAGACTGAAGTGACTGAGTGCTGTGGTTTTATTGAGGTATCAGAACATCAGAACATTTTCTACCATTTGATTTTAATCTTCATCCCTCTCAAATTTTCTGGGGGTTTTTTCTGTAAAAAACAGTGAAACTCTGTGAACAACCTGACCTGTAAGGGGTTAAAATCCATGATCAATATTCAAAATACATGAGAGGCTGAAGTATTTTTTACAAAACTACAAACTTAAATTGGAAACATGGTTTTATATCATTTTTCCAGAAAACGTTAGGAATATAGTACTATTCTTTCGATAGTACTGTCAGTTTTCAATCTGGTAATAAAATATGTTAAAAACTATGTTGCAAGCAATTATCGACCCATTTGAGGGTCTTATTATAATAATATGTATTTGTTAATGATTTTAAAGGCTTAAAATCTAGTAAGCATAATTGATACTGTGGAAAATAGAAAAAAATGTTTACATCCCATTTTTACATCTGTTTTGGAGGTTTGGATACTTTTTTTTATCTGGAAGAGAATGTTTGGACTTTAATGGATCTCAGAAGTAAAATAAAAGTCTCACAAGAAGTCATAATTATGAGTTATAAAGTCAGAAATACAAGAATAAAACTCATGCTAGGACTTTTATTCTTGTAATTCTGACTTTTATTCTCAATATAACTTTAAAACTCAAACTTATTACTTGTGATAAATTATGACAAGAAGAGAAGCGACAACAAAGGCATAAAAATAGTTTGTCTGGGTTTGGTTCCTGCTTTAACAGATGTTGGATCAGAATTTCTCCTTTAGAGTCGGCTTTTCCACACATGGATCAGAACCAGCAGTGAAAATATACTATAACATTAAACTACATGTGAGATTTATGAATTTTAATACTTTTTATGAGCCTTAGTTTATGATCGTACTGGGTAAGTTTAACCGCTTCATTTAGAGTGCAGTGTATCAGTTGAACCACCAGGAGTCGTCGTTCTGCGGTTCCATTCACTCTGCAGGCTAAAATGTTTAAAGTTTTATAAATTATCCCGTTGTCATCCGGGTATTTACCCTAAGCGGACGGTAATGATTACGTTCAGATTCGTCTGGAGTGAAACGGAGAGATGTGTCAGTATTTGGACTTTTACAGGAACTGCTGGTCATAAAGTGAAGTAACGGTAGATTGTGGCCAGAGGCAGCATCGTTTTTCCTGGCTGCTTTTTTTTTCCAGGGAACGGGTCGGTCCATCCGGTGAGAGACTCGGGAACCGGTTACGGGGTCAATAACGAAATAACTAACCCACTCAGAGAGGTAGGTACCGCTAACAGAACCGCTGTAGACCCCAGGCGAGGTTCGGTATCCCGGTTAGCTCTGGGTGCTAACAGTGGTGTTTCATACTGAAGCTGTTAGCCGCTCAGTTAGCAGCCGCAGCTAGCTGCTCTGTGGTTAACCTGCTGGTTGAGCTGCTAACCAGCGGTTAGTTAGTGTAAAACCACAGACCGCTGCATATATGTTAGCTCCTGCCTGTGAGTCCAGATTTAGGGTAAAAACCTGTGCAGCTGCTGGTTAACCTGATAACCAGCTTAGTTAGTGTTAAACCAGATAAAGATTGTTAGCAAGAGCCTGCAAGTCTTTATTCAGGGTAAAATGTGTTTACCTGGCAGGTTACCTGGGAAATGTTTCTGTTTCAGGCTGCAGGGAGAATGAAGAGCATCCTTCCTCTGCAGGACATCTCACTGTGTTAACCAGAACCAGAACCAGAGGAGACAGCCCAGCCATGGAGGAGGACGAGGAGGAGAAGATGAGCAGCATGGAGGACCTGCTGGACCTGGTTCTGCAGAAAGACCTTGGCCGGCGGCTGCAGGTGGGGCCGGAGATCACCGAGCTGGTACTCCACCCGGACCGCTGTCCCGGGCTGGACCAGGACCAGAACCTGCTGGACAGGATGGTGGATGCCCTGGCCAGCTCCTGGGTCAACTCCAGCAACTACAAGGTGAGTTTCTGACTGGGCTTCACCGGGTCGAACCGGGTCAGCAGGGAGGACACGCTCCATCGTCTAGTTAAACACTGAAACGTGTGGCAGGCATTTGTTTTCACCCACTTTACTCTGATTGGTTCTGGTTCTAGGAGGACTGCAGCAAAAACAAAGGAGCCGGACTAGCAGAGCTCGTCAAAGCTGAGGGTTTAATAGATTATTGAATTAAATGAATCAGAATCTGAAGGAGGTTCAGGTCAAATTACAGCTGATTGGATGATTAATGTAAAGCAGCTCCAGAACCTCCTGCAGAACCAGTTCAGTGAACCAGAGTCCAGATCTGAGCCCAGATCTAACTGTGGATGAGCAGCTGGGTCAGAACCGGGCCTGACGGGCCGGTAGAACCCAGTGGCTCCCCAGCGGCTCGGAGCTTAATTTATCCCGACCCAGTTTCTAGTTTCCTTCCCTCTGAGTCAGAGCCTGACAGGAGGAACCTCTCAGAACCTCCACATCCATCGGCCCTGGAGCGCCACCTACTGACACCTGTGGTTTATTTAATCATTTTAAGTTATATATCTAAAACTTAAAATAAAACATTTAGTTTTCCAATTCTTTTATGCTCAATTGAACAAATTTATCCTCAGTTATAAGAGAAGGATTTGGGTCATTTTGTTTCAAAACATTTGCTAATATTTATCCAAGTTTAATAAGTTAAAATTAGGCCAACTATTCAGTAAAAGTCTCTGGATAAACATTTGTACTTATTATTAAACTTTGGTTATAAAAAGACAAATACTTTGTGTTGTTAATATTTTCTATCGTAAGAAATTTTTTACTGATTACAATTAAAAAGTCTCCATTTACATCAGTATCAGTTTTGGACTGCTTTTAGGACCGCTCAAACTCAGCCCAAGGGCCTAAAATGGCCCCCGGACCACACTTTGGACACCCCTGCTCTAGATGAAAGAAACAAAAATTATTGGTCACTGAGGATTAAATTTACTCCTAAAATATTCAGAAATTCTCAATTAATTTTGCATCTTTTCTAGAAAAATACCCTGATGTAACAAAAGTTGTAAATTTATGATTAAAAATAAAACTCTGGGTTTATTAATTCAGACAGTAATTCTTACCACAGCAGATTTACAACTTACTTTTTTTTCTTAGAAATATGTGAAACTAATCTTAACATCTCTTAGTCTGTGTGGCGCCACATGGCTCAGAGGTAGAGCAGGTTGACGGTTCGATTTCCGGCCATTTGCTGCTCGTCTTCCTCTCTCTTCCTCTCCAGCTTCTGTTGAATAAAAACTTTTATTTAGACTTCTGGGTATTTTGTGAAGAAATTTGATCAACAGTCCATTGTATCTGCTCTTTGTAGAGCAAACATCAGTTTCTAAACAAATTTGCAGGGTTTTCCTACTGTTTTTATTCCAGAAATTAATATATTTTGGCAGAAATGTTGATTTTTTTATGCAGTACAGAAATTTCGTGTAATACCGCTGTTAACCACAGGGGGTATTTATGTTATTGTCGGTAAAACCTCGTGAATTTTGAGCCGTTGCTCCAAAAATTGCACCTTTCCCTGAGCGCATGCGCTCAGGTGATGCGGATGTGTTGATACGGTGTCAGCAGGGAGACTCTCACTAGTCGTTCATTGAGCCTCCCGGTCCACCCCAAGACAAGGAAAGCTGGCGGGGCGGATCCGGTGGCGGTTCTAGTGCGGAGCGAACTTCCTCCTCAGTCACGGTTCCCACCCAGATCTCCCGTTTCAGCCACAGGCCGCCTCGCCTCTCCTTCCTCTGCTGAATCCGCTGATTTAAACCCGGTTATTCGGTCCAGTTGTACTTCTTTTTAGCCCTTTCTTCCAGTTTACTGCTCAATACCCAGAATTCTTAGCGGCTCAGCTGCGTTCTGATTGGCTGTGGTGGGTTGTGGGTGTTTCCTGCTTCATTTCGGTGTGTTTTCCTCTCAGGTGGTTCTGCTGGGCATGGAGGTTCTGTCGGCTCTGGTGGACCGGCTGCAGGAGAGGTTCAGGACTCAGGTGGGAACAGGTGAGGACAATATTATAACAGGGCTGAATATGTAAATACAGAGTATATGAAAATAAGAAGTAAAAAAATAATATCCAACATATGACAAGATATAAGTTAATCTAAAATCAGTTTGAACCTTTAGTAAAATAACATTTAGAGTAAAAAATGGTGAATGATACAGAGTAAATTAAATAAGATCAAGACAATTAATTTGAGAAAATCAATCTACAGCATGAAATATGAAGAAAAATTTAATATACAGAATAAAATAACATCAATAGCTAATATGAAATATCATATGTAGTAGATAAAAACAGAATAAATTAATTCAATGTTTAGCATTAATTACAATCAATACAAATTATACAAAAATTAGAAAATAGATTATTTAAATACATGACATGAGATATTATAAAATATATATTTAATAAAGAAAACAATAAATTATTTCAATACACACTATTATAAAAAATATATGTAAATAAAAAGAAAAGTAATGAATAAAATTAATTAAATCTGCAACATAAATGATATTAAAATGTGATAAATAATTTTTTCAATGTGAGTAATGCCACATTAAAAAAACTGGAACTTAGATTCATGTGGAATTTTGACAAAAATAATCGGAGATAACATTTATTTGTTGTCTCTTATACATAAGATATAATATAATCTCTCTCTCTGTGTGTGACGTCCCAGTCCTGCCCAGCCTGATGGACCGGCTGGGCGACTCTAAGGACCAGGTGCGGGAGCAGGACCAGGCGCTGCTGCTGAAGGTCATGGACCAGTCGGCCAACCCTCAGGTAGCTTACTGGACAGGAAGCTGGATGCCGCTTCCTGTCCAGGTGAGGCTCTGACCCCCTGCTGTGTGTCTGCAGTACGTCTGGGAGCGCATGATGGGAGGATTCAAGCACAAGAACACCCGGACCAGAGAGGGGCTCTGCCTCTGCCTCATCTCCACCCTCAACGTGTGAGTGGGCAACCCCTGACCTCTGACCTCTGACAGTAAAGCGGTCTGTGTGTTAGAGCCCTGCTCTGTGTCTTCCAGGTTTGGCTCTCAGAGTTTGACGCTGAATAAAATCGTTCCTCACATCTGCAACCTGCTGGGAGACCCGACCAGTCAGGTACGACCCGGTGGTTCCAGTTCCTCCAGTGCTGAACTGGTTTCATTTGGTCTGGAGCTCCAGTTTAACTCCAGACGAGCTAAAGATGCTAATTCAAACTGCATGTGTAGAGCTGGGTTCATTTAAGATATCACCCATAATTTACTCGTTTTATCTGTGTATTCCTATTATAATTTTCTTTTTTATATTATTATTATTATTATATTATTATTTTATATTATTATTTTTATATTATATTATTATTATTTAACTATTAATTTATTATTTAACTATTATTTACTAAAAAATTGCTTGACATTTTAAAAATATTTTAATTTTTTTGGAAAATATTGTTTTTACTATTCAATAAAAAAATATATATATATATATATATATATATATATATTTGCATATTTTATTTTCCTCAGAGTTTTGTTAACTGTATTTTATTTACTTTAAAAATCAAAATGAAAACTTTTCTTTCAGTTATTATTGTTATGCATTTTTATCAAACACAATATATATAATTATTTGTTGCATAAATTTTCTCCCAGTTTTCTTAGAGTTAAATAGTAAATCAGGGTTTATTTGTGGTGGAGCGCCCTCTGCTGGTGAAACACAAACACTGCAGCAAGGAAACATCAGATTTGTTTTCCTGCTGGGGTCAGGCTCTCCAGTGTCCTCTTGGACCGTCAGGTCAGTCTCTGAGTTTCTGCATCCTGATTGGCTGCAGATATCTGTCATCACCAGAGTCTGACTTCCTGTTCAGGACAGGAAGCCGAGCCCACCCGTTTCACTTCCTGGAGCCAGAATCTCTCAGCCTGCAGCAACAAAACCCTGAATTTATAATTCAGAGGCCTCTGAGATACACTTTGAACTGTAAACACAGAAAACACATTTTTATTCCCTTCAGTTTCAGAATAAATTTCTCCTGTATGGAGTTAAATTCCTGCTGTGTGTCTCCATGTTGGTGTGAAGGTCCGTGATGCAGCCATGTCCTGCCTTGTGGAGATCTACCGCCATGTTGGAGAGCGAGTGAGAATCGACCTGGGGAAGAAAGGGCTGCCTCAGTCACGGTGCATTCAGGAACTGACTGTCTGTCAGATTGTTGTGCTTCGTCCTCTGATAACGAACCGATTGTCCCGTGTTTCTGTCTCGGACTCCCCTGCACAGCTCAGATCACAATCAGTCTTCCTCTTCCTGTCCGACCCCTGACCCCGTGTCTCTGATTGTTTGCCATCTCGTCCGTCTCAGAGTTCCTGCTCCAGGACTTTGACCCATTTAGATTCTGTCCCAGGACTCTGATGTCAGCCTGCAGGCCTGATTTTCGTCTGTTTGTGCCTCTTGCAGGCTCAACATGATCTTCAGTAAGTTCGATGAGGTCCAGAGGTCGGGGAACATGGTGCTGTCTCCTCTGTCAGGTAAGAACTGCTGGTCAGCCCACTGGAGGTTCTGGGTTCTGGGTCGGCTGCTTGGTGGGACCCAATCTGAAACCACAGAGTCAAACTGTCCCAGGTTTGATGCTCTGCTCTGAAATATAATAGGAAATATGATACAATGTGATAAATAAATGATCTAATATGATACAATTTGATTCAATATGATACAATAAAAATCTGATAAATTTATGTAATATAATGAGTTGCAATGTAATACAATATGATACAATGTGATCGATACATAATATAATATGATGCAGTAAAAATAAGATGCTCTAATACATAGAGAACATATGATACAAAATAAAATAAGATGTGATTCCATACAGTAAGATACAGTATGATACGTTATGATTCTGTGTAATATAATACAGTGTGATTTAATATAGAGAGATATAAAGACACAGTACGTCTTCCTGGTCTGAATCCTGGAGAGCGTCGTCCTTCCTCCTCCAGCTCAATGGGAACAGTCCAAGTTCAGGAGATAAACTTGTCCGGATGTCTGTGGGACACACACGTCTGCAAACAGGAAGTTCAAACTGGGTCAAACCCACAGCACAGCAGCAGCTGGGACTTTTATTTTGTAGGAGTGGTGTCAGCTGTCGTCCTCACAGTCACAAGACAGAGAGGCAGCAGAGGAGGAAGAGGACGGAGCAGCACTGAGAGAGAAGCTTTCCTCCACAGGTAAATCCTCCTCTTCACGTCCAGCCGACTGATCATTAGGATCTTACCTCTGGACTCCTTGTCCATCCAACCCGGTCCAGATTCTGACCTGCTTCCTGTCGGATCAGAAAGTTCAGACGTAAACGAGCTGCTGGTGGAACAGGAAGAGCTTTTGTCCGATTCCTCCTGGAGGCGCTCTGGAAGACACAAGCCGCCTCTCATTCAGACAGGAATGAAACCTGCAGCTGTTCTCTGTGTGGGCCGTGATGTGGAGCCGCGGGCCGGTACCGGCTGCTGGATAACGGATAGATCCAGTTGGTCCTGGTTCTCCCGGTTCTGAGCCTGACCCGACTGAGTGAATCAGAGGAATGTCTGAGACGGAGGAGGATTAAAGCCAGCTGTCAGGCTCCATCAGAACCGGAGCTGCTGGACAGAACCGCAGAGTCCAGCTGAGAACCGGAGCTCTGAAATGACCCGATTGTGTTGGATTTGACTGTCTGCATTCAGAGGGCTGCAGCTGCTGCGCGTCATTCTGCTGCGCATCGCACCACTGTGCGCCGTTCTACTGCATGCCGTTCTGCTGCGCATTGCCCTGCTGCGCACTGCGTGTCGCCTGCTGCGCATCATTCTGCTGCACCTCATTCCATTGCGTTTATTAGTCAGATGAACAGCCGCCTCTTTATCATTAATGCACCGATCCACTGTTTTCACTTTCGATACCGATATCTGACATTTACAATCAGATATTGATCCAATCCGAAAACAGCTGAATTGACTTAAAATGTTTGTTTTTAACACAGACATAAAATATTCTGAATTACATATTTATTTGCTAACACTGCACCAGTACAGCTCACTAAAATATACCAATAGCTTCACAAACTTGGTCAAACATGAAAAAACAACTTTGATTATTTCACTCTGCTCAATTAGGAGTTTATTAACCAGCGTAAAATAAATAATAAAGACACTAAAACTGACAAAAAACAACAGGTGAACTATCCTCGTCAAACATTTAAAAATAAACTGGAACAATATTATCTTTTTCTGTGTTTATTTTGTTTCAGCAACAAGAACAGGATGTGGCTTCATTTTGCTTTATTTTGTTGATTAATGGCGGAGCTCAAGTCTGAGTTTTAGTAAAAGCCACTGGATGACTTTGGTTCATATTACTAATAAATTACATTAAATTGAAGCTTTGTGTTGCACCTTACTTTTACCATGTTAAGACTTCAATTATATCTTCTTTTGAACAGCCTGGCATCACTGAAAACTTCAAAGTTAGACGATTCTTTAAATGTGCTCAAGGTCTGCCCAAAATCATTCTGAGGGCCCCAAATGGCCCCAGGGCCGCACTTTGAAAACCCCTGATTAATAATAATAATAAACATTTAGCTACATTAAACCACATGTATATATTTCCCAGCAAGACTTGTTCTGATTTGATTTATGACTGTTTTTAAATTAATGTTAGTTTTATTTAGCTCTATTAACATTTTATTATCTTATTGTGCAATTTATTATATCAATCAATCAACTTCATCTATACTCTTATGTAGATTTGGTTACAGTGAGTCAGCTTTCTTGCCAAACAGGAAACTTTACATAGAAACACAATACATATAAATATAACGTAATTCAAAATACTTTAAATATTTAATTAAACTTTTATTGTTATTTTTATTCTAATTAAATGCTTTTAAATGTTAAAGTATTTACAATCGTCTTCTCTTTCAGATTTTCTATTTTAATCTAATTACATCTTTTAAAATAATTTATTTACCTCTTCTACTTTTAATGACAGTTCAATATAATAATATAATTATTTTGAATAATAATTCTGCTGACTCATCATTTTGCTGCTCCGTCCTCTCTGACTCCGCCTCCTCCTCTGACTGGCTCCTCCTCTTCCTGCTCTCCTCCATCCTCTGTCGTCTTCCTCCATCCTGTGTGGAGAGAATCAGAGGACGAAGGAGGAGGAAGAGGAGGAGGAGTGTTTCTGCTTTGGTTGGAGCCCCGTCAGGCTGCAGCTCCTTCCTCCGGGTTTCTGTGGTGCTGCGGGGGGAGATGTGAGGCAGAGCGGGCGGAGCAGACGGAGCCGGCATGCTGAGGAAGCTGGTCTGCAGGAGGATCTGCTCCTGTAAGCTGCTCCTCTTCCTCTGCATCAGAACCAGACAGGAAGCCGCGGCTGAGGGGGGGCGGAGCCGGATTGTTAGGAGGATGATTCAGGATGTGGGGAAGCTGCTGCTCCCAGATCAGCTGAAACAAACAGGATTCTAATGCGCCGGTCTGGTGCTGGTTCTGGGTCTGGGTCTGGTTCTGGGTCTGGGTCTGGATGGTGTGAAGGTTGGATCTGTCTGCTGCAGTTGGTGAGCTTATCCTGTGTTGACCTACTGGATCATTTCTCTGTTTTTGATCTAATAACCTGATGCATGTTGTTGGTTCTAGTTCTGTAGAACTTCTGATGGTTCTACAGTAAAGAATTCTCTTCTACAGAAGAGAATACTCAAAGGTGACATTTTTGTGCTTCCATTTGGTTTCTACTGCTTATAAAAGCAGCTGAAAAACCAACCAGATGTTTTCTGGATGAAGTTAATAGTGTCTGGAAAATGAGCCATTTAAAAACTTCTGAATGTAAAGCACCAATAAGAATGGACTGCCCGTTACCTAGCAACCCCAGTGAAGGCCAGCCTGTTACCTCGCAACATACAGCTGGAAGAGACTGGAGTTTCGTTGTTGACTCACCACCCAGAAACCACTTGCTGCATTCTGATTGGTTGTGCAGGAGGCTCCACTTCTGCTTTTCAAAGATGTATCGTTGTATAACAGTGCATCTGTTTGCTGCCATTTTCACGTGTGAGTGTAAACATTGAGTTGGGGGTGTGACCAGCAGCTGCTTGTTTGGATTTAAAGTAACAGACCCTAAAACAGCTCAGCCTAGTCAGAACTGATCACACTGAAATGGAGCGGTTCTGGTTTTACATCAGACTCAGGGGAAGGTTCTGTCTGGACAGAACCGATGTTCTCCTGTTGATGCTCGGTGGCTTTGCCTTCAGTGACCTGCTGATGTGTCGGCTCAGTCTGGCTGTGTGAATAATGGAACAGGATCGATTGCTTGCAGGGCGGGTTCCTGCTCTGGGGGGTGAAGTGGCTCGTATTCACAGAGCCTGGTGTGTTTATGTCCTGATGACCAGAGAACATTCTCTGTTTTTGCTGCAACCTGCTGACCCTCAATCAGTTCAGAAATCCCATCCTGTTCAGCTTCACTGCATGCATCAGAACCATCCTCTGCAGTAGTTCTAGTCCTCCACACTGGACCAATTGTTCTGTCTGCTGTCCGGTTCGGCAGGAATCTCAGGAATCTGCTGGGATTCAGCAGCAGGCACGCCTCGGCCCGCCTGCTGGGACCTGCTGAGCTATTGGGTTCATTCATACCAGCCCTGTTCAGTCCGCTTCAATCCAACTCCAGTCCGTTTGTTTATAAAGTCCAGTTCAGTTGATGAGGTGTGAATGCTAACTGAATTCTGGCTCAGCCTCCAAACCTTGGTCTGGGTTCGGTTTGAATTCATATGTGAACGCCAAGCGGACTGGTGACCGCTCCAAAAGCAGGAAGTCAAGTACATCGGAGGGCATTGTGGGTAAATGCAACCAAAGCTAACGTATTAGCCTAGCGCTGGCGGGAGAAATGGCTCATGGTTTTTAGCCAAAGACTAAAGAGAAATTCTCCAACCGCTAAAATCTGACGCCTCCATCTTGTTTCCATCTGGTGAAGAAGGAAGTTGCGCTCAGTGTCTTCACAGATTTTTGACGCAGCGCCCCCACAGGCCTGGAGGGGAATAGGTTGCTCAAAGGATTTGGTTGGTTTGAACCACAGCAACTGGAGATGGAGCAGATGAATGAGTTCTGGTCCCAGTAGAACCGGGTCTACTGGACCATCTGGTGTTAAAACATTCCTTGTTGTTCTTCATCCAGATAAAACCTTTGAGGACGATGAATCGGTGGACGGCGGACGTTCCTCGTCCAAAGCAGCCTCTGTGTCTGGGAGGAAGGCGGTGAGCATGGGCTCGTTCCGACGGCCGTCCTCGACTTCCAGCAGCAAGTCTGCAGGTCAAAACCGGAACCAGTTCTGCCCCACATCTCCTCGTGTCGGCTGTGTTTTACGAGGCTGTCTGTCCTGCAGGGCGGGACGGATCGAGTGCAGGAGCTGTGGATGAGGAGGATTTCATCCAGGCCTTTGAGGACGTTTCCACAGTTCAGGTAAGACATCTTCTGCCTCCCTGAAGCCTCGGTCCATTAAATCTGAGTTGTGGCGTTTCCTCCACCAGATCTACTCCAACCGGGAGGTGGAGGAGGCCATGACCAAGATCCGGGACGTGCTGTCGGATGATAAGAAGGACTGGGAGCTGAGAGTGGCCGCTGTAAGCCGTCCTCACCTTGTCTCAGTGTGGAGTGTGTGTTGTGCCTCTGACCTCTGACCTCTGCCTTGTCTCTCTTCAGCTGAAGAAGCTTCGCTCACTGCTGCTGGCCGGAGCGCCGGAGTTTGACTGCTTCCTGCAGCAGCTGCGGCTCCTGGAGGCTTCCTTCAAGCTGTCCGCCAAAGACCTGCGGTCTCAAGTGGTCAGGGAGGCCTGCATCACGCTGGGGTGAGGCTGCAACCTTTCACCTCTAGAGCTCCTCTATCCCTGATTAGTAACGCCTCCTGTCGCCTGCAGCCACCTGTCGGCGGTGCTGGGCAGCCGCTTCGACCACGCCGCCGAGGCCATCCTGCCACCCCTCCTCAACCTGGTGCCCAACAGTGCCAAAGTCATGGCCACGTCGGGCGTGGCTGCCATCCGCCTCATCCTCAGAGTACGACCCACACTTCCTGTTTCTGATCATCACTTCTTAAAATTCACTTTTTACATGTTTCTGTTCTTCCACTTGTGTCTCTACTGTTTCTAAAAACAGACTAAATGCTAAAAAAAAAAAACCAAACGTTCTTTGGAAATAAATTAATGCTTTTTTAGTGTCTGGAAAATTAGCCATTTCAAAGATCTCCCAAATGTTGTGACACTGTACGGTTACCTAGCAACCTAAGCTGATCTCCAGCAGGTTTGGTCAGCAGGTTTTACTGCTGTATGCGCTGTACAATGGCTGCTGGAAAAGACAAGAGTTTGGTTGTTGACTTACCATCCAGAAACCATTTCATACATTTTGGCTGGCTATGCAGGAGGCTCCACTTCTGCTTTTCAAAGCCGTAAAACATTACAAAAGTAATTTTGATTTAAAGTGACAGAGACCCTAAAACAGCTCAGAATAGGCTGCATCAGACTGAAATCTTATTATTATTTAAGGAAGCAGAGCCGGTCTCCTTGAGGCTCTAGAAGCTTCATGAACAGGAATCTCCTTTCCACAGCAGCCTGGTTCTGATCCATGAAACTTCCTGCAGCTTTTCCTTCTCCTTTTGTTCTGCAGCACACTCACTGTCCTCGCCTCGTCCCCATCATCAGCAGCAGCTGCTCCTCCAAGTCTGTGGGTGTCAGAAGGTCAGACCACATTCCGCTCTACATTTATCTATTGTTACAAAGAACAACTTTTATTTCAATTTTGATAAATTATTATATTTAAATTATTTTTTAAATTAATCTGTATCTGGATTTTTTGCTGTTTATATTTCTACCTATGCATAAAACGTACATTATTTAAATATATTATGCAATGTGTTTGGTTTTTTTTTTTACTTTTTTTGTCATGTATAGAAATGAATTTTTTTAGTTAAAAATTAGTTTTAGTTTTACACCATTTTTTAATTTTAGAATTTTTTTGATTTTACCATATTTAATATTAATTAGTAATCAAATGTTTTGTAATAATTTTTAAAATAGTAATTCTTTTTGTAATATTTATCTTTTTGTTTTCTGACCTTATTGAAAACACTTATTTTATTTCATAAGTACATATTTATTTTTTGTGACTTTTTCTGCAGCTGTTTTCCTTCCACATATTTTTCCTGCCTTGTTTTCCAGACGCTGCTTTGAGTTTGTGGACCTGATGCTGCAGGAGTGGCAGACCAGCAGCCTGGACAGGTACACACACACACACACACACACACACACACATCTCCACCTCTGCCTGAGGAAACCTGACACCCAGCCAGGACGAGCTCCACCTCAGGCGTTTCCATGGCGATGGGAACCGCTGGGGAGGAAACCTGAGCTGAACCCAGAGCGGCTCTCTGTGGCCATCGACCCGTCTGGGTCCAATCAAAACCACAGAGTCAAACTCAGAGGCTGGGTTGGGTTTTACAGAGATAGAAGCTGGTGAAGCTCGGTGGAGGCAGTGTTATGATGTGACGTTCAGAGGCCTGAATGTCACATCATGTAATTTAACTGTGATTTTAGTCTATGTAAATTAATTTACATATTTTTTTGCAAAGTTAATTACTTAACGTCTGTCATTTCTCTCTCTCTCCCTCTCTCTCTCTCTCTCAGACATGGAGCGTTGCTAATGGAGACGATAAAGAAGGGGATCCATGATGCTGATGCTGAAGCTCGATCTGTGGCTAGGAAGTAAGGCAGCCTCCACAAACAGAGCAGCTCCAATAAAAACAAGCCTCACTAATGACCTCTGACCTCTCAGGTGCTACTGGAGCTACCAGGGTCACTTCAGCCGGGAGGCGGAGCTTCTGTTCCAGGGCCTGGAGTCGGCCTATCAGAGAGCTCTGCAGGCCCACCTGCGGAGTGGAGACGCCCTGGTGTCGCTGCCGGCCTCCGACCGCTCCTCGTCCTCGTCTCAGGAGAGCCTGAAGTGAGTTCAAAGGTCACCTGGTGCCCACCCTGCTGGAGCCTTCTGCCTCTAACCCTCTGACCTGCTTCCTCCTCAGCCGGCCACTGGCGATGAAGAGTTCAGCAGGAAGCAGCAGCAGAGGTCAGAACCAAGGTCAACATCATCACACCTCACATTTAAACCTGTTTTGTTTCATCATATTTTATGTTTTATTCATCACATTTTTAATTATTATTTTACTGCATAATATTTCCCATGCTAATCATAAAATAATTCTTGCTATTTTATTTATTTCAGTTTTTATTTTGGTAATTTTATGCATTTTAATTTATCACATATAAATATAAAATAATATTATATTGAAATATAATATAAGGTTTTTTAATTCATAGGAACAAACATTACAGAAGAACTGATCTACAAATAATAAATTAGAGAAGAAAAGAGAAAAACAACAAAAAGTTCAAGTTAAAACTTATATATGTGACACAAAAGCAAAAATAGATTTAATATATCGCCTTCTTTACAGTTATTTTATGATTTTTTTTAATTTCTAAAAATAAATTTAAGATTAAACTGATTTGAAATTTATATTCCTTGTTTTATTTGTTCTGGGGTCTCACTCACGTTGGGTAGAGGTGGGAAAAAGAGGAAAAATAAGTAAAGTAAATAAATAGGTTATATCTAGAGAACATGTTTTGTGATGATAATAATAATAGTACAAATAATCTTTATGTAATAACTGCACCACCGTTTGAACAAATCAACTTTTACATTAAACCAGAGAAACAGGTTTTAGTTTTAAATGCAAAAATGAATAAAATAATAAAAATAGCTGATAAAAAGCTATCAAAAACATCACCAGCTAAAATCTTCTTCATCTTTCAGCAGCGATCACTGATCTGATCACATCGTGTTAGAGATAAAGTTAAACAGTTTAACTGCAATAAAAACAAATCAAAGCTAAAATAAAATTAAGTTGTCAGATTTCTATCTCATTCTTTTAAATAATTTTTTATATTAAAAGGTGGAATATTTAAATAACAACAGGAATATTGTAAACAGTAACTAACTTGAAGCTGTTGGAACATGCAGCCGGCGCCCCCCGCAGGCCTGGAGCTGCCTCGTCTCCAGGCGCTCTGCAGCGTTCCCGCAGCGACGTCGACGTCAACGCCAGCGCCAGCGCCCGCAGCAGGATGCCCGCCGTCAGCGCCGCCGCCGCGCCGCCGTCTCCCTTCAGCGCCGCCGCCGCTCTTCCCCCAGGATCCTACGCTTCGCTCGGTCAGAACCAGAACGGCCCGCTGGCTCCGCCCACCTCTCAGGGGTCATGGGTCGTCCTTCATCACCTCATCTTCATCCTCAGGGCGAGTCCGGACCAGGAGGACAAGCGCCGGAGCCGGTCCCACGGCGACGGATGGCCGGAGCCGAGGGAAGGTCGTCTCTCAGTCCCAGCGTGAGTGAAGAAACCCGATGTCTCCGCTCGTGGTTCTGGTCCACTCTGACCCGGTTCTGCTGTTTTCAGCTGGCAGCCGCTCCGGTTCTCCAGGCCGCCTGCTCAGCTCCACGTATGGCCGGATCCCGAGGCCCGCCGCAGGCAGCAACGGCGCCCCCTGCAGCGTGAGCGACAAGACGCGACCCCGAGGTCACCGCAGCCAGGGCTGCAGCCGAGAGACCAGTCCGTCCAGAACCGCAGCCGGTAAGAACTGTTGCTAGGCAACAGGCCCAGTTCTGCAGAACCTTTGTCTGACTGGAAAGAAAATGATGGCTTGGTTTATAATATTTTTTTGTTTCTTGATCTATATTTTTATTTCAAATTTGAATTGTTTCTTAATGTTTAATTTAATTGTATTTCACTTTTATTATTTCTTTTAAGTTTTTTTGTCATTTTTATTTGAAAATTGTTTTTTTTATTTTATTTTTTGAATTGTTTTGTTACATTTTATGTTTTTTCTATTATTTTAATTTTTTTATTTGTTTTATTAAATTAAATTTGTTTAATTTTGTTTTAATCATTTTTTTCAGATTTTATTTTTGTTGTTCTTTTACTGTTGTTTGATTTTGTGTTTTTAATTTATTTTAGTTTTTTTTATGCATGTAGTAAAATCCATAAAATCATTAAAACCTTTCTCCCCAAAAACATCTAAAAATAAAACATTCAGGTACATATAATGAAAAAGATTTACATTTTAAAATATGTTTTGTCTCATTTCAGAAAGTAAAACTAATTTATTATACAGATCCATCACACATAGAATGACAGATTGTAAGCCTTTATTTCTGATTATATTGATTAATTATTTTTAATTTTGGCTGCAGATAATATTCAGGAAATCGATGACACCAGTTAAAAAGCATTTTTAATGTATAGATGTTATAGTTATCTAAATATCTTATGGAAACCAGGATATCATCTGCAAACTGTTGTAGTTTTTTTTGGTTTTTCTTGGTAAATTGAAGCCAGAAGTGATGAAAGCTGACAGGAAGGAGAACGCAGCCCTGCGGAGCTCCTCCTGAACCTTGGCCATGTTGCCATGTTTCCTAGTTTATCCACCGTTTCGGCACAGATCCTGCATGCTCCTGCTCCATGTTGTCCTCCTGCTGTCTAACCTGCTGTCTAACCCAGCTCTGTGACTCACTGCATGGACCGCTGTCCTCTTCTCCTCTCCTTTTCTCCTGTCCTCTCCGTCTGTCTCCATCTGGACTCTGCAGCCCGGAGTCGGATCCCTCGACCCAGCATGAGTCAGGGCTGCAGCCGGGAAACCAGTCGCGAGAGCAGCCGCGACACCAGCCCCGCCAGGGGCTTTTCCCCGCTGGGTGAGTACCTGACTGCGGCCCCTGCCGTGTAGCCCTGCGGCCCCACGGCCCCATGGCCCCCCTGAGCTGCCAGCGTCTGCTTTAGACGCCTCCTGCCTCAGAGTGAGGGACCTGCTGTGGTTTTTGTTTCCTCCTGCAGCCAGCCGGCCTCATTCCCGTTCCACCAGCGCCCTGTCCTCTGCAGAGGGCTGCTCAGGTGAACTCTGACCTCCTCATTCATTCATGCTCATTTACTTGCATGGCTGAGTCAACAGCTCCATGCTGCGGGGTCAAAGGTTAAACGTAGCAGGAGACATGCCTGGGCTTATTGCTGCGTCTTGTGTTGCATCTTCACTGATGTTTGAGCTGCTTCAGGTTCCTGGTTGCTTTGGGTCCGAGTCACACACTGTAAAAACACAAAGTCTGACCAAGTGGTTTTATCTAGTTTCCAGTGCAAAGATCTTACTAAATTCAAATTTAAAAAATATATATATATATTGATCACATTTACAGTTGATTACACATGAAACTAACTCTAACCAAACTAACTCAAAGTAACTATTCATCAAGATGTGGCAGCTTGTTTTAGGTCAATATTTCCTTAATGTTGATGAAAATGTTTTAGTTCCACTGGCACTTATACTTAGTATTTTTCATCAATATTAAAGCAGCAGTATTATGTGAAATTAACCTTTTAAGCTTTACATCATGTTTTAGCTTTCCACCATGTTTTCATGTTTTCCCTGCATTGTTGCTCTGATTCTTTCTTTCATGCTTAAGAAATACTTTAATCTCCATGGCAACCATTCAGCTGCAAAACACCTGGGTGGACCTAGCCCCGCCTTCCAGGTGTAGCTCCTCCCCCACTCTGCTCCTTCAGACTAGTCAAGTGAATTAGCAAACAGCTGGTGGATCTGCTGAGCTGCTGCTCACAGCGACTCGGTAAAAACATTAAAGGGTTAATAAAGGAGCCATGTTGGAACAACTTCCTGGAGGCGGTGCTTCAGAAAGAGCAGGAGCTTCTTAAAGGGACAGAGACCCAATTTTAAGTCATATTTGACATATATTTTTATAAAAAATCAGAGGAATCATAGTTACTTAAATGTGCCATAAACGCCTAGTTCTGCCCCTTTAAGACATTGTTGAATGAAAACAAACTCCTATGTTTTTCTGTCTTATTTCTAGATGTTTGCAGTAGAAACTAGACAATAGTGGGTGGTAAGGTTCTGGTTTTGCAGTGATGATGATGCTGTTGCTGTCCAGTCTGACCCTGGTGTCTCTTCCTCCTCAGACCGGCTGGCCCATCAGGCCCGGATCTCAGCCTCCGTCAACGCCATGCGGGTCCTGAACACGGGCACCGAGGTGGAGGCGGCCGTGGCCGACGCTCTGGTAGGAAGCAGCTGCAGTTTTCCTCCGTCTGTCTGAACTGAGCTCCTGTGGTGCTGATGTCAGGTTTCTTATGACTTCCAGCTGTTGGGAGACTCCAGGAGTAGTAAGGTAGTAGATCCTGTGTGCCTGCATGCAGCGTGTTTTAGAGTCTGTTTCATCACATCAGCGACCTCTCCGTCCGTCCGTCAGCATGTCCATCTGTCCGGCCGCCATCAGACTTCCTGCTCACTCTGGTTCTCTTCCGACAGCGGCGGCCCGTCCGGCGGCGCTTCGAGTCGCCTGGTATCTACTCAGACGATGATGCCAACAGCGACGCCTCCAGCGCCTGCTCCGAGCGCTCCTTCAGCTCCAGGAACGGTGGCGCCGGGCCCCACTTCCTGCGGCAGACGGAGGACGTGGCGGAGGTCCTGAACCACTGCGCCAGCTCCAACTGGTCGGAGAGGAAGGAGGGCCTGCTGGGCCTGCAGAACCTGCTGAAGGGCCAGAGGATGCTCAGGTGGGCTCTGGTGGCAAATGAATCACTAATGAGACGCAAACACAAAGGAAAACTCTTTTTTTTTTTAGGTTTTGTTGGCTCTAGTGGCCTTTATTTGAAAGTAGTTTGACAGGAAAGAGGGAAATGAGAGAGGAGGAAGACATGTGGCAAATGTCACCAGGCTAGGAATCAAACCTGCGAGCACCGGCATGAGAACTAAGGCCTCAGTACATGGGTTGTGCTTTGCCCCTGCGCCACCATAACACCCCAAAGGAAAAACCTTTAATCACAGCAGAAACACTTTGAAAAGTCAAGACGTTTATTTACTCTTAAATAATAAATACATAATGTTCCTTTTTAAAAACATAAACTTGAAACAATCAGCAGCACAAAAACATGTTAATGTAAAACAACAGGAGGACATGGAGTGTAGAAAACGCTGGTAGTTTGAGATGAGCCATCTGATTGGCAGCTGTGGTGGGCGTGGCCTGGAAGGCTTGCCAATCAGAGAGCTTGTTGTTTCTGCGTTAACAGACTCTGTTTGCTTCCAGCCGTGTGGAGCTGAAGCGACTCTGTGAGATCTTCACAAGAATGTTTGCAGACCCGCACAGCAAGGTGAGGCCCTCCTGACAGGAAGCAGAAATATGTCACTTCCTGTCAGACAGGAAGCAGCGTCTGGCTGCAGCTTGAACTAACCCGGTGTTCTCTGTTGCATGTTGCTCTCTGCTGTGGACTCTAACAAACCCAGAGAGTAAGTGGTTCCTCCCCCTGCAGCTGCTCATCGTCACCTTCATTCCCGGTCCTGACCCTCCTTTTCCTCCTCCTCCTCCTCTTCCTCACCTGCCAGGTGTTCAGCATGTTCCTGGAGACGCTGGTGGACTTCATCGTCCTGCACCGGGATGACCTGCAGGACTGGCTCTTCGTCCTGCTCACTCAGCTGCTGAAGAAGATGGGCGCCGACCTGCTGGGCTCGGTCCAGGCCAAGGTCCAGAAGGCTCTGGACGTCACCAGGTCAGAACCGGAACCAGCACCCTGACTGTGGTCAAAGAAAGAGGCAACTCCCTGCTAATTGCTTGTTTAGACTTTTATTAATGTAACATGAATAAATGGCTGGAAAAATGAATTTCTGCTAAAACAGTTAACATGAAGAGTTAAATGTGTGTAAAGGTTGCAGGTTTGTTTCCGCTGTGTCCCTCAGGGAGTCGTTCCCGCTGGAGCTGCAGTTCAACATCCTGATGAGGTTCATCGTGGATCAGACCCAGACGCCCAACCTGAAGGTGAAGGTGGCCATCCTGCGCTACATTGAGGCTCTGGCCCGGCAGATGGACCCGGCCGACTTCGTCAACTCCAGCGAGACGCGCCTCGCCGTCTCACGCATCATCACCTGGACCACCGAGCCCAAGAGCGCCGACGTCCGCAAGGTACCGTACTGCATCATGGGAATCCTCCTGGGCCGGGCCATAAGGATTCAGAACCTTATCACAATAACTAGTGATACTACTGGGATAAAAATAAAGATTGTGTTAAAAAGACAGAAACAGATTAAAGGTTCACACATTTAAATGTTAAAAACAAGATGTAGAGAATTAAGATGAACAATAACAACACAATGTACAAAACTAACAGAAACATCCTCATTATTAGCCTCTTCTTTACCTCATTTAATAATTTTATAAATTTACTTTTATTTATTGATTCTCTCTTGGAGAAAACAGCAGAAATAACTGTTCAGATAATCAATAACTGATGGTGACAACCAGACGACGAATGTTTCTCCACCCTCAGACGCTCCACACCTGGGCAGGTGAGGATCGAAGCTCCACCGCCTCTCTGCCCCGGGAGGGGCATCTGGAGGAGAGGTGCAAGCAGGTAGAGCCGGCATGAGCGGGGCAAATAACCGGGGCAACAACCGGGTCAGAATGGGGCAAATAACCGGGGCAACAACCGGGTCAGAATGGGGCAATAACAGGGGTTAGAATAGGCCAACAACCGGGGCAAATAACCAGGGTATTAACCGGATGGGAACTGGGCTGTATTCGGGTCAGAACCGGGCTCTGTCACTAACCTGGCTCCTGTTTCTCTGCAGCTGCTGCATGCGTCTCAGGAAGCTGCTTTCCTTTCTGGCTGCATGTCTGCCGCCTGGCTAACACGGCTCTGACCCGTTCTCCAGGTCTGGCCGGCGGTGGCAGCGCCCCCCGGTGGAGGCATGGGGAAGCGGTGAAGTCATCCGGTCCGGTTTGTGTCTTGCAGGCGGCCCAGGTGGTTCTGATCGCCCTGTTTGAGCTCAACACCCCAGAGTTCACCATGCTGCTGGGAGCGCTGCCCAAAACCTTCCAGGACGGAACCACCAAGCTGCTGCACAGCCACCTGAGGAGCGCCAGCGCCGGCATCGCCATGGTAACACCCTTCACCTGCCCCCCACAGAGGGCTTCTTCAAATCTAACTAAACCACTGTCAGTTTGAAGATAGTAATGATGACCTCTGATGACCTGGAAGGTTTCTATTAATATCTTTAAAATTGAAGAAGCACAAACAAAAACATTTGACTCAAATTAACTTGATTTGAAGAACCTTAGGGAGAAACGTCACTCAGATGTGACTGCAGTGTGCCGGTTTGCTCCACACCCTTTGACATTCTGCTTTCTTCAGGCGGCTCCAGGCGACTCGGCCGGCCGGACGCCCCCCCGGCCCCCCGGCAGCCGCAGCAGCCCACTGACCTCGCCCACCAACCACGGCGGCCTCTCCCCCAGGTGAGAACAGGACGTCCTGACCAGCTGGCCTCCGGTCAGGACCAGATGCTAACCTTCCTGGTATCTCTCCCCCTCCCCCGCCTGCAGTCGGCTGTGGGGCTGGAGCGCCGATGGCCTCTCCAAATACCCCCCTCTTCCTCCCTTCCCCTCCCCTCTCCCTCCCTCTGCCTCCCTCAAGGCCTTACGGCGAGCGTACTCTCCCAGGTAACCCCGCCCCCTCACCCTCCTCCACCCCAACCATCGTCTGTTTGATTCACCTGTTGGTGTCTCAGTGTGACCTCATCAACATGCACGTCCATCCAGGTTCTCCGACTCACTGAGAGGCTTTCATAGGCATGGACCAAACCCAGTGGCCGCTAAGCTGCTAAGCAGCTATTAATGCGCTAAGAGCAGAGCTAATTTTTAAGCTAATATTTTAGAGTTGACAACATCAGTTAAGACAAAGTTGGTCCTCTAGAGGGCGACACATGTTGCTTCTTTGACATGGTGGGTATCAACAGCGTTGAATTTAGCAATTCAGCATTAGCGTCCATTAGATAGCATGTTGGTTTAGCGCTTTAGCATTAGATAATGATTATTATTAACACTTCAGGTTTCGCAAATCTAATATAAATGATTAGCACTTTAGAGTTAAAGTATCTAATTTATATGATTAGCACATTATGGTTAGCATTAGCTAATGATGATGACTAATGATTCAGGTTTAGCATATCTATTTTTTATGATTAACTCTTTGGGGTTAGCATAGCTTATGTTTCTGATTAGCGACTTAGCGTTAGCTCTGCTAGCCTTTCAGTGACTGGTGCCGCCACTGTTGGACCTTGGAGCAGAATGAAGAGTCGTTGGTCCAGTTTGAATGAAAACAGTTCCAGTGTTTAGACGGACTGAGCCCAGGACTGATCCATGTCTAAGAACGTGTCCATGCCCTGCAGGACTGTGTCCACTCACTGTCTTCTGTCCCCTGCAGCGGCGCCTTCATCCTGTGTTCCTCTGTTTCAGCATGCTGGAGTACGACAGTGAGAACCTGAACACTGAGGATCTGTACTGCTCCCTGCGCGGCGTCTCTGAGGCCATCCAGAACTTCAGCTTCCGCAGCCAGGAGGAGCTGGTGGAGCCGCTGCGGCGGGACGGGAAGCAGGATGGAACGGTCAGTGGGTTCATCCCGCCTCATCCCACCAGGCTGGGTCTGGAAGTCACATGACTGTTCTGCTGCCAGGCCGGCGTGGTGACGGCGTCGTCGGACCCAGAGCGTCGGTTCTATGGCAACGTGACGGAGGGCGGCCGGACGGCTCTGGACAACAAGACGTCGCTGCTGAACACGCCTTCGCCTCGCTCGTTTTCTGGGCCGCGCTTCAGGGAGTACAACCCCTACAACTACACAGACGGCCCGCCGGAGAAGCCCGGCCCGGAGGACGGCGCCGAGCCGCAGAGAGACGGTGAGCTGGACGTCCTGCAGCGGCTCAGTGGGTCTGTCTCTGTCTAACTCTGGCTCCCTCTGCAGGCCGTCGACAGGAGTGCGGAGAAAACAAGACGCAGAACACTAAAAGCTTTCCAGGTAACAAGCCGAACCCAGATCTTCAGCAGAACCGCCACTTCCCGTTCTAACACGGTTCTGTGTGGCTGCAGCCGGGTCGGCGGAGCAGCTGGAGCTGGTGGGGGAGCTGCTGAAGGAGCTGTCCCAGGCCGGGGACCAGGAGGACAGGCGGGGGACGCTGCTGGAGCTGCTGAAGGTGGCCCGAGAGGACAGCCTGCTGGTGTGGGACGAACACTTCAAGACCATGCTGCTGCTGCTGCTGGAGACGCTGGGGGACAAAGACGTGAGTCCAGCCGGACCGGACCGGCCCTCATTCACGATGAGCAATTAATCATGACCAGTTAACATAAGATGATTAATATTTATCATAATCTGTTTGATTCTAGGTGTTTGGTTGGTGTGTTTTATTTTGGAAACTAAAAATGTTTTCCACTTCCTGTGTGAAACATTCCTCACAAAATTACAGTTTTTCAGAGAATAAAGTCCAAAATGTATCGACTGTTTGCTGTAAACTGACCAGTGAGCTGTCCATCAGTTAGTTGTGACCCGGTCCGTCTCTCACAGCACTCGGTCCGGGCGCTGGCTCTCCGGGTTCTGAAGGAGATCCTGCGGAACCAGCCGGCCCGGTTCAAGAACTACGCAGAGCTGACCATCATGAAGACGCTGGAGGCTCACAAGGATTCTCACAAAGAGGTGAGACGCCGGAAGCTGTAGCTGCTGCTGCTGCTGCTTCTGCTGCGTACTGAGGGTTTTAATGTTTTTATCTTTCTTAATCTTTTTAAAAAAAAATTTTCAAAATCTCTTTCTCACTGTTTATTCAATGTCACATGCTGTTTTCTTTTTAATTATGTTAAGCACTTTGAAATGCCTTGCTGCTGAAATGTGCTATACAAATAAAATTTGATTGATTGATTGAGATGGTCTAGATCAGTGGTCCCCAAACTACGGCCCGCGGACCAGATGCGGCCCGCCTCCACATTTGGTCCGGCCCCCTGAACAATACCTGAGA